AACTCCAGCACCATCATCATCATCAAGGAATTAAAGCTCACAATCGGTTTTAATTATGTATTATCAACGATCTATTTTCTTTCCTCGAGTGACGTAATATTCATCAATAAAGTTCTATTATTAGTGTCTTGTAAATTTAAGATTTTTGCGACTTCGACAGTAGCAGTATATTTTGGAGACTACAACAAAAAGAGCTATTTATAGTATTTCATAATAGCGTTTTCGATCAAACTGCTATATTTTGTCTTATTTATAATATAATATAAATATAAATAAATTATATAGAGAGAGCAATGGAAAATATTGGGTGCAATATTTTTCCTTTTGAGCGGCCGCCAAAATAATTGAATAGCTAAATACATTTACGCATCTTATCTACTCACTCACGCCGAATCTCTCTATACCCCTACATGTGTCTCCATTAATCCAACTTCAGACTCGCCATCTGCAGTGAGGGTGAGTTTGGTATGGCAGCTGTACAAAACCCCTTGAATCACTACCATTACCGAAATCTCAGTATTATGAAATTCATTATCATTGCTCTACCAAAAGTTTCGGTATACCAAAAATTCGATCCGGTACGTTATGATAATGGTAATTACCAATACTATTTGCGTCAATATTGAATATAATTTTTTCAAAACAATTCATGGCATATAAATGTTTAAAGTTTTCAAAACTAGTATTCAAGAGATAAGCATTACGAAGATATGTTTTTAACTTATCTAATATAAAATACTTCTTAAATATAATTCTAACATAAAAAATCTAATGTAAACCATATCATCATTAATAAAAGGGTTCAAAATATTTTTGACAAACCTAAAAATTATAACTAAATTTAACTAATAGGAGTTACTTAACTACTATCTTCTTCTTAACAGAAAAAAAAGCTACTGTCTTCATTTTTTATATAAAATAAATTAATTATTAAAGTATAATTTTATTTATTAATAATATTTTGGTATGGTGTGGTAATGCCGTTTTAATAATTTTGAGTATGGTTGCCCTACCAAAAAATTCGGTACGGTACGGTATGGTGTTGAGCGTATATTTTACACTCAATGTATACTTTCTTACGAGGATTTTTGTATACTTTTATTGATTTAATGATGCTTAATGAGCGGTTTATTGTATTTTAGGTACAACTTGACGATTTGGGAGTTCCAAGGATGAAACGAGCCAAAAAAAGGTCAAAACGGGCAAAAACGGAAGAAAACAGTCGGGTGCTGAAAATTGGCCGGCGCGGCCGTGCCAAATTTAATTTAGCCTATTTTTGGCGCGGCCGCGCCAACTGCAGAAGTTGGGCAGAAGGTTTCGGCGATTCTCGCGCGGCCGTGTGAGAATTGCACTGATTCTCGCGCGGCCGTGGGAAAACACGCTGAAGACAATTTTGGAGTTTTTAATCACATAAGAAAATCTAAAATCTTCTACCAAATTGGGACATCTATTTAAGGGCAAACCAAACACGAATTAAAGGACTTTTCGAACACAATCTTAGAGGAAGAGGAGCGAGAGAACGGAGAAACGAAGACGAAGACCTGACGAATCTTCATCATAATTCTTCTTTCACCTATCTTTTTTTAATCTATGTCTTTTTATATTTTTATTATATTTTTCGTAGAGAACATGAGTAGCTAAATTTTTAATCTAGGATTTTGTTGGATCCATATGTGGGGATGGTGAACCCGTTTTCTTGAGATTATGCAATTATGATTTTATGATTATTTCTTCTACTTGTTATGATTGTTAGTGCATGAACATGATCAATTTATGTGCTTTATCTGTGATTATTGGGATTGACTCGACATAGCTATTTTGATAATTAGACGGTAAGTAAAAGAACCTTCTAGTAGTTTTCACCGGACAGTGTGTCAATTGCATGTGGTGTCGTAGACATACATATATCACCTTAGGTAGCCATTTACGAGACTTGTTAGTTAATGCTTTATTCATAATTGGTTTGCATAGACATATAGTGAACACACTATGCAAACCATATGAAAATCAACAAAATGCAGTTTACAAAAACAACAAGAAACTACAAACAAGATTTCAAATAAAAAATTGCGAACAAGAAACTTCAAACCGAAAGCGATATCAAACAAGAAACAAGAAATTTCAAAGTGAAGCCAAGTAATTGGTACAATAGAAATTAATTACAACCAACAAATAGTGTTGAATAGTAGTGATAACATATTGCAGATAAGTAATTCTTGCAACTTGCACAACAACGAGGCAAAATACCAAAATATGTAGATTTCAAATACTTTACAGAAAAAGACAACCATAATGCATACCGAACGAAAAAAAAGTCAAATAGAAATAGAAAAGACCCGTATCATCAATACTTTAGAAATGACTGAACTTTTTACAAGCCAGTGATGTTTCGAAGTCATCATCCTTCTCCAATGCGAAAAGAAAGCCCCATAGATATTGGTTGTTGAATCATTACCAAAATTTCTAAAAACATATAAACTTTTAGGTTGTAAGTATGTTACTTACCAAGGTTTTTGAGGCGTTTGAACCATCTTTTGGCTTTGTTGAGGTATTTCGATGTTGTTGTGAACACGCATCTGAGAAGCCGAACCTCAAACGAAACTATGCAAATAGCAAACGAAACTCTACAAATAGCAAACAAATTCAAAGAGCAAACTAAATATTTCTAACAACGAAAAGGTTTCAAGCTAATTGCAAGACGAATTGCAATTTGGTAGCCAGGTTTCAGCATTTACACCGATATTCTGAGAGGGATTTGAGATGGTAGATTATGTAATTGTTTCGGGGAGAAGTTGTTGGGATTTTAGTTTGAGGAGAGATTTGTGGAATCACGGTTTATACCATTTGGATTGATTATTTGGTGATTTTCCATATACTATTAAGGGCATTTTTTTCACAAAATATATAATAAATTTATTTTAAAATCCTACTTATGAGGTGGATTTATTGCTATAAAATCTAGGGATTATTTGAGAAAACCCCCTCATATGCATTGTATCATTAGACTAGATCTATTTTTTTTTCTCACTTTTGAGATAAATCCAATTATATTTTATTCAGCAAATTATATTATTAATAACCTATTTTACCCTTTTTCAATTTCTTTTAACCTACTCACGTCTCTCCTCTAGCCGTCTCTCTCGTTCTCTTCTCTCCCTTTTCTCCACAACTCACGCTCACCCCCTTGCCTCCCTTACCAGCCCCCAAAACGGGGCAAGACGTTTGGGCTCTTCCTCCTCTTCGCCAGCCAACAGTTAGTCGGAGTCGATATGCCCACCACACCAAAGGCGGCAGCCACACCTCACACATCTGATCTATGCCATCTGGCTTACCCCTTCTCGGCCGTCGATGGTTTGCCGGTGAATGCTTCGTCGCCTATTGAAATTTCTGAATTTATTGGTAATTTAAATTGAAGATTCGACAGATTTATTGCAGTTTGTAATTGATCATTCAGTCGCCAAATTGGATTTTTGGGTTTTACTAATTTTTTAAGTTTCTCGTTTCTTTTTTTTCCTCTATCAATTTTTGGCATTTTTTGTTGGATTTATTTCAACATACCAATCTAATAAAACCATGTCCGTAATTTATAAATTAAATGGGCGTAAATATTGAATCTGTTGAATTAATTAGGTGGGCAATGGTAATTGTCTTCGGATTAACTTTAGGTTTTGTCATTTTTTTTTAAATTTTGGTTGTAGTGAATCTCCGTGAAATTGAAGAAGCATATTCAACCACGTCTCATATAATCACTCCTATGAATTGATTTAATATGTTATTCTTTCGGTGTTTTATAATAGCGGATTTTGATAAGACTATAGTGGATTTCAAGTTATTGTCCTTGTGTAGAAAAAAAAATGAGTGTTTGTGTAGCGGTGAATGTGTGCAAAATAGTTGTTTTTGTTACCTTTGGCGGTTGTTTTTTTCTATTTTCATGATAAGTTTTGCTATTTTTGCAAATTATTTTTATAGTGGATTAGATTAATATTTGAGTGAGTTTTGATATTTTTTGTAGTGGATTTTGATGAGATTGTAGTGGATTTCAAATTCTTGTTTTGGAGACCGAATTTTTTTTATGAATTAAATTTACGCATTGTCTTTTTTTTTTCTTTTTTTTCATGTTCTTCCACAAGCGAGTGATGGCAGCAAGTGGGACGAGGTTGGGTGATGCTCGGGTGCCTCTACAATTGTCTGTGATGACGTTGTTTACTAAAGGGAATTTTTGTAGTGGATTTAGGCAAATTTTTAGTGGATTTTCTCTTTTGTAAAGGTGATTTTTGTAGTGGATTTCTATATTTTTGTAGTGGTTTTTGATGAACTTATAGTGGATTTTAGACAAAATATACCTGATACAGGCGCGAGGAGGAGGGGCTGTCGATGAGCTTACACTAAATAGTGGTTTTCGAACTCTCACGCGACATTAATAGTGGATTACGTTAGAGGGAAGGGGGTTGACAACGCGTACATTGAATAGTGGATTTCAAACAGTGAATAGTGGTTTTCAAATTCTGGTAGTGGATAGTGGTTTTCAAATTCTGGCAGTGAATAGTGGTTTATGTTAATTTTATAGTGGATTACGATAATTTTTCAGTGGATTTTAAGTTGATTTTTCTTTTTAGACAGTGAATGTTCATAAATTTTGATGTGTATCGGATTTTATTTTTCGATAAACCTGTTGGAAAAATATGATTTTCAATAAATTTCGAAATATTTATAGTGAAATTCGATAAGTGTGTAGTGGATTTCAATTTGGTAAAGCGAAAAAAAAAATCAATAAAAAATATTAATTAAAAGAATAAGCTGGAAAAAGAATATTTAAAAAAACAAAAAAAAATGAAAAATAATAAACGAATAAAAAAATTGAAAAAACTAAAAATAATAAATAAATAAATAATTTTTGAAGTAAAACAAAATCAATTTTTTGAAAGAAAATAAAAATCTGAATGTGAGGATTTGCATACTTACGTATTTTTTAATTAAATTCCCATATTAATTAATCTTTAATATTATTATGAATATAATAAGGGTAAATGGGGTATTATGCCAAGTGAGGGGTTATCCCTAATAGTAAATAAAAAAATGGATTTATCCCTCTAATGAAATTGTATGAGGGGGTTATCTCATATAACCCCTAAAATCTAATATAGATGGACCAGCAGCAAATTGCATATTTATAAAAGTATTAAGAGATGAGAGAAGTTTCTTCAAAGATAATTTTAGAATTGGATTTATGGCTATAAAACCTAATATAGAGGGACCTATAGCAAATTGACCATTTATAAAAGTATTAAAAGACCTGAGAAGTTTCTCCAAAAATGAGTTCAGAATTATAAATTCAATAAACTATTTTAAGAGAAAAAAATATATTGATATTTGCATACATTTAAAAGAAAGAAAAAAAGAAAATAATACAAATTCCACATATAGAAAGTTCACAGATGGTGGCGATCTAGTCCAAAAAGTAATCCGGTCGACACGCTCGATTTCATTATGTAAATTAGACCAACAACAACTTGTATATGTTGACTTTGTCTACTTGGAAAGAAATGAAAAAAGGAAGATGAGATTATGAGACCATTAATTGTCACATGTAATTGAATATGATCGAATATATCAAACTGACAAAGGGTGTGGGGTCTACCTAATTAATTAATTAATTATTCTCTATTATCAAGTTTTATTATATGAATTAACAAAACTGAAACTGTAAAATATTATTTAGAATCTCTTAATTGACGCCATCTAATCTACTCGGGATTGGTCAACGCTGCAATTACTTCAATCTGTGATCTCTTCTCCACCCCTTGTTTTGACTTTTTTTACATGGCATGAACGAGTCACTTCTTTTTGGTGTTTTAGTTTTATATATTTGTCTTTCTTTAATAAGAAAAGAATAAATCATGCCTTTTTGGTAAAATTTTGGAAAATTTTCAATTATACCAAAAATATAATAATGGTTTATTTATTTTCCATTCAAATTTGAAACCCATCTCTAAATCTTAACCCCCATTAATAATTAATTCCTCCCTGGTTAAACTTTTAATAATAATAATAAAAAAAAAGAAAAAGAAAAAGAAGGGGAGTAGAAATTGTTAGGCCGCCGTGTCTGAATGGTCCCATAAATAGGCTGTCGCAAAAGGACTGCTGCTGCTGAGTTTGTAAAGACACGTATTTATTTATTTATTTAGCGTATAAAATTGATCCAAGTAGGAACTATGATTATCATTATTATTTAGGAGTAGTATATAAAGAGAGTGAGTGTTGAAGAGATATTGAGAGATTATTATTTAGTCAAAAACAGCAGAGCAAAAGCTGAAATAGGAAATTGGAAATTGGGAAAAAGAGAAATGGCAGAAGAAGAAGTTCCAAAAGAGAGATATCTTGATCAGACAGCAACATGGGCAGTTGCTGGTGTCTGTGCCGTTATTATTATCCTCTCTATTATCTTGGAGAAGGTCCTCCACAAAGTTGGAACTGTAAGATATCTATCATTATTCTTCTTCCTTTTTTTTTCTTTTTTTTTTAAAAAAATGTTTTCCTCATGCCGTTGACCAAATACTGGAATTGATTTTCATGAACTCGTGTGTTTTTTCTTCTGTCGAGATCTTTTTTTTTCCCCTTCCGTTTTCCTGTTTATTTCGGGTTTATTTGACTTGTGTGTTTCTATCTGTTATTGGATTTTTTTTCTTTAATTGATGGGTTTATGTTCTTTTTTCGGGTCAAGAATCAAGAATTGAAGATCCTTAATTGTCAATGTTTGGTATGGATGTGGGTTCTGTTTTAGCATAGTATTTTGACTTTGTTTTCAGAATTTGTACAGCCTAGCTACTCATTTCTAAGTAAACAATTCAACTGTGTAAGGTTGTGTTTTCTGTTTATTACCCTCAAACTTAAGTAAGTTGTTTTGGTTTTGTTAGTGTTCAATATATATTGAATGGTTGGATTGGAATAATGAAACAAGTTGTGAATTTTTTCTTTATATAGTGGTTAACAGAGAGGCATAAGAAAGCTCTTTACGAGGCACTGGAAAAGGTTAAAGCAGGTAGGTAGAACATCGCCGATAATTAATCTCGTTTCGTTTTATGATTTAAAACTGTATTGTAATTTAATTTGGTTTGTTGGTGACAGAGTTGATGGTACTGGGATTCATATCACTACTACTAGTGTTCAGTCAGTATTACATTGCTGAAATATGCATACCTCTCAAAATAGCCGACACTATGTTGCCCTGCCCTGCTAAAATCAAAGACGATGCTAAGGGAACTGATAATCGTCGTAGACTTTTGTCTTATGAACGCCGTTTTTTGGCTGGCCAAAAGAAGAATCCTTGCAAAGCCGTAATTATTTGTCTCTCTTGATCCAACCTTTTTTTTTTTTCCTTTTAAATATTATTTCATTTAACTCTCTTATTACAAATCACAGGGGACTGTACCAATTATTACAGTGACTGGACTGCATCAGATACATATTCTAATATTCTTCTTAGCATGTTTCCACGTCTTTTACAGTGCTGTTACTATGGCTCTTGGTAGACTTAAGGTAACTACCATATGTCGTTTCTCAAACACCTTTTATTTACGTCTTTCAATTCATATGTGAAAAATACTTGTTCGTGATTCAGTGAAAAGCGATGTGTTATTGGTAGGAATAATGTACTGTTATTAATAATACTCATCTTTATATAATTATATTCCAACCCATTCTCGTATGCCACGTCATCTTTTGTGACGCCGTAGTACTGAGTCATAATAAGCATGGATACTACTATAAAAGTTAAATTCCCCACAAAAAATAATCATAATTATTGCTAGTCATAATCGAGAAACCAGTATCGTCTACTGTTACAGTAATCTTTCTTTTCTTGTTTTCCAGAAATATTCATGCAATTAAATATTTGTTTATATGTAGTATAAACTTTTGTTACTTGTTTAACTTATGTTTTATGTTGTGCAGATTCGTGGATGGAAACAATGGGAGCAGGAGACTTTGTCACACGACTATGAGTTTACAAATGGTATGCATAAATTATATTCCCTCCACTGTTATGTTTTAGAATTCGACGTAAAGTAACAGATTCTTCAACCCGACAGATCCTTCAAGATTCAGGCTTACTCACGAGACATCTTTTGTGAGGGCCCACACTAGTTTCTGGACACGCATTCCGTTGTTCTTTTACATTGTAAGATTACCCTTTTTCTCATTTTTCTTTATTTCCTCGTGTTTAATGAGATAGTTATCAAAATTCTTATTCACATATGTCATTTCATTCATGCAGGGATGCTTTTTTCGACAATTTTTTAGGTCCGTCAGCAGATCTGATTATTTGACCCTGCGCAATGGTTTCATTGCTGTGAGTTTTCTTCTCAATGTCCTTTCAATTTTCCCTACCTTATTTATTTATTTAATTTTTTCTAAAAAATAAATTATAATTGTTTTGTAGGTTCATTTGGCCCCGGGAAGCAAGTTTAACTTCCAACAATACATCAAAAGATCACTAGAAGACGACTATAAGACTGTTGTGGGAATAAGGTAAATTACTAGAAGATGCCCTTTAATCAAGAAAACTTGCCATCTCGTCAGAATTTATGTAGCTGATTTTCTTTCCGACTTTGTTTGTTTGTATGCGCAGCCCACTTCTTTGGGCATCATTTGTGGTGTTCTTGCTCATAAATGTTGACGGTAAGTCGGTGTCGTTTATTAAAAAGAAAATGTTTCTGCCAAATATCAACCCCTCAAATGTGTTGACATATTCTTTTATTCTTTTATATATATATAAATATCAGGGTGGAAAGCGCTGTTTTGGGCATCCCTTATTCCTTTAATTGTAAGATCTTAATCACTCGTATAATTATATATGATTTGAAATGCATAGAAAAGAAAACCCGTAGCTGAAGATGGCATATGTATATATCAGATAATATTAGCTGTCGGCACAAAGCTACAAGCGATATTGACGAAGATGGCCGTCGAGATAACGGAGAGACATGCAGTGGTACAAGGCATACCTCTTGTCCAAGGCTCCAATAAATATTTCTGGTTTGGCCGTCCTGAGCTCATGCTCAGTCTTATACACTTTGCTTTATTTCAGGTACCCTTTTTTTTTATTTTTTTTTTTACCATAATGCCGATTTATTTATGTATTGGGAATTATACGTCGTCTGTGCTAATTTGTTTAATCGTCTTTGCAGAATGCCTTCCAAGTAACATATTTCCTGTGGATTTGGGTAACAACGATTCTTCTTCAATTTTCTGACTACCAATATCAAGTTTTCTTATAGAGACAGTAAAATGATAATTTTTTTTTTTTTTTTTTTTTGTATGTGCAGTATGAATATGGTGTTAAATCTTGTTTCCACAACGACTTTGGACTTACAATTGCAAAAATTGGTTTAGGGTGAGTGCTACTCGACATTGAACTATTTTCAGCCTCGGGATAATTTATCACTTGGGATTTAATCGGACATTTTTTTATTTCTTTGTGATATGACAGGGTGGCAGTCCTATTCTTATGCAGCTACATTACGCTACCGCTGTATGCTCTAATTGCTCAGGTACCATTAGAGCTTTATATTTATTCGTCTGTGTTGTACATTACACTAACCCCATTTATAATGTATGTACATTGTGTGTAAATTTCTTCTTCTTAACGGTACAAGTATTTAGTTAATCATGGTTAATTTACCCAACCAAACGTGGCCTGGAATTAGTATTGATTTAGGGGCCAACTAGTCATTTTTAACTTATATCGATAGACGATCACAATGGAAATGGTTCTTTTTGAGCTGGAAGTATCTTTGATTGCAGTAAACATGTTTTTGTTTTATGATTAAAAAATAGAATTAAAGCTCTTGTGAATTTTAATTTTGGAAGGAAAAAAATACAGATGGGTCGA